CCCAACCATCAGATGTTAATCTTAGCCTGACAGATGTTAATCTTACCAGCATGGTAGAGGAATGGATTGGGTAGAGGAATGGGCTCCGGAAATGAAAGCAGGCCCAGTTGTCCTGTTCCAGCTCAGATATGTCCTAGTTTGGTGTATTGGGGAAAGCAGAGCTGCCCCATGAATTACAGATAAGAGAAAGCCCCAAGGCAAGCACGTTAGGAACCCAGAGAGGGAAAGTCCATAATCCAGAATCTCAAGAGAGCTCAGAAGAACACAGCAAAGTTGAGAGCTCTAGGGAGGGGAACCAAGTGACAGAGCTCCTTGACTGACAAGCAGTACCAGGTGAGGCTGGTGAAAGCAGAAGTTAGGGAGAAGACGGGTGTCATTTTGAACTTCTCCAGACCAGAGGAGGCTGAAAGATAAGAGCCTCAGGAAATGCCTGCTAGCTCTCTGCGCTGGAGAGCTGAAGCCAGAGGGCTAGCGGGGGCTGAAGTCAAGGGAATAGTGGACAAGTGAGCCAACAAACCATATCTGAGACAAAAACAGCAGCAAAGGTAGAGGGGCAGGAGCAAAGCATGGGGAGAGACACCAGACATGCACCCAAGAGATGAGGTGCAGTAAGATATACTGGAGCCAAAGCTAAGAGGCTAAAATGGAATGAGTTCCACTGCAGCTGTACTAGAGAGCCTGAGCATGGTGCGTTGATGGACTATTGGGTCTGGAAGACTGAACATACGGTTTGACTTCATTGGGAAATTCTGGACTATAGCCGTTGGACTTCTGTGATAAATTAAACTTGCAAAGGACTATTTATATCTAGAAAGCTTTATATCTAGAAGAGGGAAACTGAGGCGAGGCATGCATGCACATCCACAGTGAGGTCACAAGAGAGACAGTCACCCTACAATGGGGAGGTTTCCAGAATACCTGTTTCTTTCTAATAGTGGTTGTAACAGGGAGCAGAAGTGACAAGACTGAATATATAGTAAACAGCCATACATCTGTCGTTTTCTAACTTCTGAATGCTTGACTTTGCAATCTACACAACACCATTTTAAGAGTTTTCTGGTAGATAATCCACATATAAAATGTAGGGAACTGTCCTATGAAGTAAAGATATCTACAGTGTTCTAACTGTCATGTTGAACTGTCACTTCTGGGAAGTGATATAAAACGCTCTTTTGGGGCCGAGAACTCAAGTCATGTTCTATAAAATACTGGTGTATATATCTACGTTAACATTACATGAAAGTCTCCATATACATTTAGAGTAGCCATTTTATTGTACCATAGCGCACGCACAGTAGTTCTAGACCTCACAAGGAGCCCTCTAGTTGTGCTAAACAAATTTCACTACAGGTTGAACCTCTCTAGTCTGGCATGATTTTAGTCAGTCAGGTGTCCACTTATCTTGGGTGTGGCCAAGTTTCCCGCAGTCCCAGAAAGTTTGTTTACAGCCGCCAGCCCTGGCTCTCGGTGTTCTGGGCTGTTGTTTAGCTCTAATTTACCCAAAGTGTCTTCTAAGAGTCCAGTCAGCAGTGGAAATGCCGGTAATGCTGCTAGCCAGTACTGACCTCCTGCAGTTCTGGTTTGGCACCAGTCAGGTCCCAGAGGGGCCAGACTAGAAAGGTTCAACATGTAAGCTAATTTTTAGCAGAACATTACCTCAAATATCCAGGTGTGGTATTCTGATGAACAAATTTATGCAAGCTTGATGAGCAAAACCTTTCAACGAAGGATTTCAAAACACTTTACACCCGTGTTTCTTAAACTGTGTTCCGTGGCACATTGATCTGCCGCGGAGAACAACAGAATTCAAAATGGCCAACCTTAAAGGAGCAGGCAACCCTTTTTTCGGCTCAATAACTTTCCTTCAACCCTCCCCCCCCATAACTTTCCCCCACGACCCTTTTCCCCCCCTGACCTTTTTCTCATCTCAACCAAAAATCCTTAGTATTCCTCAAAAAAAATTGTTTAGTGTTCCTCAGTCTTAAAAAGTTTAAGAAACACTGCTTTACACAGTTAAGAATTATTGCTATAGAACAACGAATTGGGGTATGGAAAGTAATTTGCCCCTGGCCACAGCACATAATTGAGAGAGTTTGGAATAGACTGTAGGTTTCCTGGCTCCCACTAACTGCTGTTCTAACCAGTTAAAAAGGCTACTCCTCATACATAATGATACCATTATTGGACCTAACCAAGTGAGTTATAAGATCAAGAACACATATTCCTGCGCATCCAGAAATATAATCTACGCTATCATGTGCCGAAAGTGTCCGTCTGCTATGTACATTGGACAAACATCTCAGACACTTCGCCAAAGGATTAATGCCCACAAAACAGATATCAGACAAGATCACAAAGAGAAAACAGTTTCTTGCCACTTTAACCAGAAAGGACACTCTCTAAATGACTTAGCCACCTGCATTCTGCTACAAAGACCTTTTACATCTGCACTTGAAAGGGAATCCTCTGAACTGTCATTCATGTTAAAATTCGACACTTACCACCAGGGACTTAACAAGTCTTTGAACTTTCTCACCCATTATCAAGACAGTTTCCCCAATTATCACCTGTAATACCATTAACTCACAAACATCCCACTCTCCCTACCTCTAATATCATCAATTCACAGACACTTACCTTCCTTCCTCCCCCTTCCCACCCCCCCGCCTCCTCCTTCTGTTCTGCAATGTGATTTGTCCTTTTCATATTTGTTCTTTTTTTTAATTGTATCCTTTGGTATATATGGTTGTGACTACTTTCTTCCACTATTTGATCTGAGGAAGTGGGTCTGGCCCACGAAAGCTCATCATCTAATAAACCATCTTGTTAGTCTTTAAAGTGCTACATTGTCCTGCATTTTGCTTCAACTACCCCAGACTAACACGGCTACATTTCTATCACTACTCCTCATACACTTCTTAAACCTCATAAAACCTGTGTCACACTGATCAATGTTTTTAACCTGCATTTATCTGACAAGAGTTTACTTGGTAAAGTACCAGCTATCCAAAATAGATTTTACAGAGACTTTTCTTTACACTTAGAAATTAAGCTAGGATATTCATAGCCCCTGAGAATTCCCTAAATGGTTCGTTACTAGCTGGAAAGAGAATCAGACACAAATATGTGGACAAGAGACAGTCAAGGGAGTCTGTCTTTTTGTTCCCATACTGTTCTGTGCTTTTTTGAGTGTAACAGGTTGTCACTCAGCCCAAATGTTGCTCAGTCAACAATAGTTGTTCTAAGAGCCATGCCAGAGCCCTTCCCTTCAAGCCTTCCTTACCAATCCTGAAGAATGTACAGGCAGTTTAGGTTGGGGAATGTGTAAACCAACATTTCCAAAATAAACTCATTCACAGCTTCTCTAAAAAGCAACTGTGAAATCTACAAAGTGTAGTCTAGGATGGCAGCAATTGTGTTGAATTAGCTTCTACGTGGCCTTTCAAAGTACTAATTTTCAAATGCAGCCCACATAGCAATCTACTTACATGTAGCGATTCCGCACTAGGGCTGGGAATTCTTTGATGTATTGTGTAGTTTGCAGTAAAATTTACCTGGAAGAGCTTTTTTCCCCTTCTTCCCACGAATTTCCTAGCTTTACAACTGTCCCTTTAAGGATAGCAGTTTACAAAAGGAAACAAAAAGGTTTCTAACAGATTACAAAGGTTTTGATTTCTAAAGACACTGCCTTTTGTGTTCTCGCCACTTTGTACCACCATGCAGCATACTTCTATGGACACAGGTTCATGCAGAACAACCACTTCCAAAATAGAACTACTTCGGGTTATGCAACACTCATTAAAATTACAAAACCTCTCAAAAACCTGACCAGAATGTTAAGGCTGAATTCGGCTCCCGGTGTATTAAATTTAGCAGCTGTATCATGCATGCTGACAATGTCGAACACTGCAAAAAAAGGGGGGAGGGTAGTTTCATGCCTCAACAACAGCACAAAAACCTTGCCAGGCCACATCATTACATTAGAATTCATTGATAAGATTAAAGAGCATATTTTAAAGGAGGTTTGTAGCATGGTAAGTCCTGGGTAGGTAGGCAGGCTGGTTGGTTTTCAAATCATATACACATAGTAGGCAAAGCACAGCCAAGACATGGGCTCCGTTTCACAGAGACAGCTTGGGTTGACAGAAATCAAACTCTCTCTGAACCCTGGCCAGGACTGGCATTTGGAAAAGTTTTACTGGTGCCTCCAAAATGTTTCCAGCCTTGAGAGCTGAGAGGAATCAAACCTTAAAATTACATCAACCTGATTACTTGCTATTTCTCAAGCTGCCAGAGTCAGATTAACATTTCCTAAAACTAATCAGTTAGAACGGAGCAAAGATTTTTATGCCTTTGGTGGTTTGAGGTAGTTGAAGGTAAAATGGTCCAAATTCAAGTGTAGGAGAAAAAAAGCAGTAGATGTAATTAGACTAATGTGATTTTAAAGTCAGACCCCACAACCTGCCAAGGAGATGAAGGAACAGTTCATGCTATAGAAATCTGCAATTCCCTGCTCTCCAGTTGTATAAGGCATTAATTTCTAATCAACTTAAATTAGTTTCCTTGATCAAGCTTTTCTTTTCTGTCATGGTACAAGACTGAATATAGGAAATCCTGTATCTCTGACAAACATCACTCAGTTTCTGGTGCTGAGAAGCTCATTTCACCATCATTTTCAAAGTACAGTTTAGTTTAATTTGCAAAGGCACAACATATACATACAGATTGAGATGTATAATTGACCTTGAATGCAACACAAAGAAAACAGAGCTCTGGAATTCAAACCAAAGTATCAATTCTCCTAAAACTTGGGAATTAGCACTGTGAGACAGGCAAGCGGAATTAAGAGCCTTCTAAGATCAGCCAAACAGTCATGCCACATTTGGTTGTGACACACAGGATTAACAGTTATGTATTCATGCCAACGCACTGACAAGTAGCAAGGTCTCACACGCAAGCTGTCTGCGTTACTGCTGCTAGCTCAAATCACAAGCACACACCTTTTGCTTGCCTTTGCCGACTCAGAACATTGGCTTTCAGTTGCCTTGGTTTCTCTCGATCGTGGACAGCAGACCTTGGTGGCGGAGTAGGAAGCCCTCTGGACTTTGTGGGTCTCATGTAGCCTTTTATCTGTTCTGTAGCTTTGACTCTCTCCTCTTCCTTTGTCTCTTTCACCACTTTTTGTCCAAATCCATCAATGCTTTTCTGAGGTAGAGCTGCACATTTATCCTCTTCAGACTTCAAAGCTTGGAAGTCCTTCAGGCCAGCCTCCATCTTGCCAGAAGCATCACCTTCTGATTGTTCAGAACTGCCTTTAATTTTATCAACAGGGCTGATTTCCTCTGTCTGGACATCTCTCAGAGTTTCACTAGCAGCCTCAGCTGCATCTGCCTTTTTTTCTAAACTAACTGGACACTCGGGGAAGCTCTGTTCACCCGTCTTTCTTTCACCGAGCTCAGTCTCTTTAGCCTTGTGTTCTGCCGCCGCGGCAGCTAGAACCTGCAGAACCACTTCTTCTGCTTTAGTCAGTTCGAGAACCTGCAGAACCACTTCTTCTGCTTTATTCTCCCATTGCACTGTCAGTTCCGGAGAGATGCATCCAGCATCGCTGCTACTTTGCAGTCTGGCCATCACATTGGCATCTGTGGGAACTGTTCCCTTTGTGGCAACTGTCCCCTTCAGCAGAGGCTCCAAGGAAGCACATTCAGGGCTTTGCTTTTTACCAGTGAAACATATTCCTGTGTCACCCATCTCTGTTAAAATGGAAGTGTGCACTTCATCCCTTCCTACCTTGACATCCTGCTTAACTAAAGAATCCAAAGAAGGCAGTTTCCTTCTGTTCTTCTTATCCCCAGCGCTAACCACTTGGATTTTTTCACTCTCCTTCACTAACGTGAAAGCCTGAACTCCAGCCTTTTCACTTTCCTGTTTGACTGAATGCTCATAAAGAGCGGGTTTGTCGTCTTCCCTTTGGTCACCTGTTCCAGACTCTGTTTTGGTGCCCTCCAAATCTGCGGCAGAAAGCGGTAACACCTTACTTCCTTTGTCCTTTACTTGACGCCCTGGAAAGAGATGCCCAAGCCCTTGAATTTTATCCACAGAACAAGCTGTGTCAATTTTGTCAATACCAACTGCTCTAGGCTGAGTATAGGGGGTGAATGAATCTCCCTTCTTATCCCAAAGCATTTGATGCTCAGTGGGGAAATGTTTAATATTTTGGTTTTCATCGACAAGACTCATTTCTCCCATCTGGTACTCCAGCTCAGTTGCAATGGGAGGCTGCGTTTTGTTCTCGTCCGTGTTAGTCTGCAGAAGAAATGGCTGTTCACTGGCATTTTTAGCCTTTTTCGTTTTGCCATCATTACTCCTTTTTTTAGACTTACTGGCCACCAGTGCCGGACTGGGAACTGTCATTGCTGGATGTTCTACAACAGTAAAACCAGCCATCTTGTTTTTATCAGTGGAACTTGCCTCTTTAGTTTTGTCAATGACCTCACCACCACCCCTAAGAAGTGTGGCTGCAGCTGTTTTGGTCTTCAAAAGAAATGGCTGTTTCAAACCATCATCAGCCTTTGTGCTGTCCTCCTTATTATCTTCTCTCGGCTTTCCTGTCACCAGTGATGAAACAGGAGTTTCTACGTTAGCTGTTTCTATTATATTTTCCAAGAGATGCTCTGAAGTAGTACACTGAGTTTCCTTACCTCTGTCAGTGGGGTGAGTTCCTTTATCTGCCTCTCCAGATACTGCATGAAGTTTAACTAAGTCTGTCTTTGCCTGTAAAACAGCAACATGTTCAGCATTATCTTCAACCTTTTTACTTTTCCCTTCACTAGCCTTCTTAGGTTCGTCTGCCATCAGTTCTGCAATGGGAACGTATGCCTTAGCGGTATCTGCGATATCCTCCAAGAAGCGCTCTAACGTAGTAAAATTGGTCTCCTTGCCTTCCTCAGAGGAATGGGTTTCCTTAGTTTTGATGAGCGTTTCGGACTTTGCTGTGTCAGTTTTATAATCAGAGGAAAAAAGTTTCTCTGAGCAGCTTCTTCCATCCTTGACTTTAGGTTTTTCTGTTACCGGTTTCATAGCGGGAACTTGCATCTTGGTTGTGTCTGTCAAATCCTCCGGTTGATGCCCTGTTGTAGTAAAGATAGGCTCCTTGCCTCGGTCAGCAAAACCCATTTCTTTCATTGTTTCAGCTTTTTCCACTAGAGTAGGACACTTGTTTGTGTCTGTCTTAATCTCCAGAAGAGGAGGCTGCTCGAAAGAACCTTTGTCAGCTTTTTTGGCTTTCCGGTCATTGCCCTTCTTTTTAGGTTTTTCAATCATCTCTGCTCCACTGGAATCAGGAGTAAATCCAGTCTCTTTGCTTTTATCCATCAGATTATCTGCTTTTGTTTTGCTGAGCATTTCAGCAGTAGCAGGAAGTTTGGCCGCATTTGTTATAGTCTCCAAAAAAAGGGGCTGTTCTGAAATACTGCATTCGGCCTTTTCACTTTCCCCATTAATACTCTTTTTAGGTTCTTCTGTTACCAGCATTGTAGTGGGACTTTGCACCTTCATTGTAACTGCTGCTCCCTCCAACAGATGCTCTGCAGTAATAAAACCAGTTTCTTTACCTTTATCAGTGAAACTTGTTTTAGTTTTGTCATTCTCCTCCCTACTGCTTGCGTCTTCCTTAACCTCCAGAAAAAATGGCTGCTTGAAATGACCTTTTTCAACCTTTTTATTTTTTCCATCACTAGTCCTTTTCTTAGGCTTGTCTGCCACCTTTGCAGGACTGGTACCGGTCATATTCTCCACTGAAAGCTCTGCAACAGCTAAGCCAGTCTCTCTGCCTTTATCAGTAAAGATTCTTTCTTCAGTTTTATCAACTGTCCCAGCTACAGCAGGAAATGTATTTGGGTCTCTCTCAGCCTCCAGAAGAACTGGCTGCTCAGAGAAATTCTTAATCTTTTTGTCCTTCCCATTACTTCCTCTCTTTTTAGGTTTGTCTATAACTGGAGCCACAGTGGGATCAGTCACTCCTGGATGATCCAGTGCAGTGAACCCTGTCTGCTTACTTTTATCAATGAAAGCCATGTTAGCCATGTCATCTGTCTCTGCAGGAAAAGGACGCTTGGCTATATCGGTCTGAGTTTCCAAAAGAAATGGCTGCTCTAAAAACCTGAAGTCAGCCTTTTTGTTTTTCCCAGCAACGCCCTCTTTAGGTTTGTCTGACAGCAGTGGTATAAGGGGCACTTCAGTAATATCTGCTGCAGTTTCCAATAGAGGCTGTGAAGTAACAGAGCCAGTCTCTTGGCTTTTATCAAAGGAGTCTGGTTTTTTAGTTTTGTCAACTCTCTTTGCTACAGCAAGAAGATTGGTTGTACCTGTGTCAATCTCTAAGATGCCCGACTGCACAGATAAACCATTTTCAGTCTCCCTGCTTTTTTCACCTCTGTCTCTTTTCTTTGCTTTCTCTTCCGCAAATGCCTCACTGGGAGTTTGAACTATATTTGGAACCATCTCTGCTGCTGCTACATGCTTAGGAGATGTGCACTTAATCTCCTTGTTTTCATCACTAAGGCTAACGTCTACAGGTTTGGCCTCCAAAGGAGTTTCCAATTTGTTCAGATCAATGCCTTTTATAAGAGGTACTCTAAGGTCTGAATGTTTACACTCAATCTTTTTGTTTTTATCAACACCTATTTCCATAGGCTTGGTTTGTGTCCGTGCTGATGCAGGGCTCTCCATTTTAGGCTGTTCTGCCTTGCATTCTAGCATCTCCAAGGGCATCTGTTTGTTTTTGCTTTTAGACGGCAACAAACGGTCATCTTTTGTTTCTTCTGGTTTCATGACCTGTCCAGCTTTTGCATCCAACAAAAGCTGAAATGGTCCTTCAGTTTTCAGGCTCTGCTGGCCTTGTGCAGGACTTGAGAGAATATTTTGATCACCTAAGAGGTGGCTTTCAGTTCCTGCCTTAGTATCCCTTGGTACATTAGAAGCTCCCTTCCTTTGGCTCTCTCTTGAGAAAGTAGAGCGCTCTTTGACGCCTTCAGCAGGCAGGACAAAGGAGACATCTGGCTTTTGAGGTTCAACAGCGAAGAGGGGAACTTTGAGGGCTTTGGAAACTTCTCCATTTTCATCCCACAACTCCATTGCTCTTGGCTGCTGGTTTCTCTTTTGTTTTGGTTTCTTCTTCTTCTTCTTCACAATCACTGGAGAACCTTCTGAATCCCAGTTCTCTCGAGGTACATCTCTCTGGCTCTCCACAAACTCAGACGGCATGCTGAGCAGCTGCCCGGATGCCTTTTTATGTGGTGTCCTGGTACGAGCGAATGTTCCAGAGGCCCATCCAAGCTCAGCCATAGAAAAGGGATCTGGTTTTGGGTCAGCACTCTTCTGTTGTGGGAGACCTACTAGAAGTTCCCCTGGGACATCTGCACCAGGCACTGCTGCAGGTTTTGCTCTGCCAAACCTGCGGTCACTTGATTTGTTAGCTTGCCTTACTTGTGCAGTAGATATACCTGGAATACAGGAAGTTTGCTCAAGTTTCAGAGCAACTACTTGCTAAAAGTCTATATTAAACAACTTATTTTATTGACTGCCTCCGTCATATACGCAGTACTTTTAAACACTCTAATACCGTACTAATCCCAAACCCAGTTTAGTGGTGCTGTTTAAGCAAGTTAAACTTTAAAGCAGGATTTATATTTAATTTCTTTGTTACCTGTGAGTCAAACAGATCAAGGACAGAGATTAAACAGTCATTTTTTTGTACAGTGGGTGATTTTTATTCCCATAAAACTGCTCTCGTAGTGAGAAATTACCAATATTTAGAAATGTAATTAAGGATCCATTTTTCCTGTTACCTTATCAAGGCAAGACAGTAGATACATTGTTACAACTCTCTAGTTTAGAAACTTTCCTTAGTAGGAAAGAGAAGTATAGTGGAAAGGTAAGAAAGAGCATGGATGTAATGTAAGTAAGTTTCCCACAGCACCCATAAAGCAGTGGAAAGCAAAACTTCATCAAAAGGAAAATAATGTTCTTTACTCTGACGTAGATAGTGCTACTTTGTAGTTATGAGCCATTAACTTTAGAGTGTCAGACATTTTACACAGCCCTGGTTGCACAAATCAGCTTACAGTCTGAGACACAAGCAATCTAGGCTCAGTGGAAAAGTGAGTTAGTGGAGCAGGAATAAAACTGTTTCCCTTTAGTAGCTTTACACCTTAATTTGGAAGAGGAGGTTACAATGAACATCATTTTATTAGAGTCAAAGAACATTGGGTTTGCCTTCAAACCAAAATAAATTCCAAGTTGGAAATGGTATGAGAGGAGAGGTAAGGTGAGTTTTAAAACGCTTTAGCAGTGCAAAACATAAGCCAGCCCCCAATGAGAACAATAGCGGCCTCCAAATTTGGACTCGCATTCCTGAAACCAAGGAGAGGAAATCATTTAAAGAGGGGACAGGGCAAAGACTGGAAACAAAGTGCAAGCAGAATCACTGTGATAAATTCACAGAACAGCACAGTTCTGGCTATGAAAATCATATGCTTGCCAATGTGGCTGAAGGGTAAGAGAAATGCAGACAGCAGGAGAAGGAAGAATGCTATTCAGAGATAAAATATATTTTCTTCTAAATTCCAGCTACTGTCAAATCTCTACCTGTTGGTTTCAGTGGAGATTTCTCTTGTGGAGGTTCTGTATGGTGGGCATGACTAAGCTCAGCTTCTTCCTTCAGCTCCTTTACAATGGCCAAGTCAGCAGCCGGAACATTTTTTTCTGGAAGCGTTTCTTTAGTTTCTATCACTGTCAATGGTTCTTTTGGAACTGAAACACAAACAAACACTCAGTAAGATGGGATGTTTCACATCTGATGAACAGGTTTATACTCTCAGGCATACAGAATTATTCACTCAGGCATATAGAAAAGGGTACATTATGCTTTAGAAAACAGATGCAATTTACAAGATTCTGTAACCTGTCTGCAGATACCCTTCCCTCAAAATCTTTTCAACAAATACCTACAAAACGGTTGCAGTGTCAAAGGTGAAATATACAAGACTGTCTTTATTACTTGAAGATGGGTGAATTCAGGCTATACTGGCTTTCAACTGGTATTCACACAATTCTTAAACTGAACTTGTAGCACTATCACTGTACAATTGCTTTTCCCAATATGTCTTAACTGTATAAACTAATAAGGAAGCTTACAAAACTACCAAAAATACAAGAATAAGTTAACAGTTAACTTCACCTAAAAAAAGGTGACAGAAAATTCTTGTATCATGCCAGCTAAAACAAATATTCAGTTCTCAATATTGAAAAAATTAATGTTTGGTCAGAGCTTACACAATTTGCATGAAGTACTACATTTGAGTGCTTATTATTTAGTTCTACTACATACATGCAAAATTAACAAGATTAAAAGAACTAAACTGTGCCTGAATTTTATAAGTCCTCATCACATTAGCGATGCATTAGATTTTTAAAGTTATTTACATTATATTATTTTATACAAAGATATAAAATATAAAAATTACCAATAAACCAATTGCCTCTTTCAATGGATTCAACAAACATGCATGGGGAGGGAAAAAGAAGAAAAATACAAATTCCCTCTTAACTTTTTAATGGAAATCAGATCTACAGTATAGCAGACTCCAAGGGTTCCCCCCATCCCCACCAGTTGAGTCTGAGAAACAGTTGCTAATATAACCCCCCATTTTCACATGCTCAGAACTTCTCAAAGCATTCACCATGGCAGGGTCTCTGCCAACGGCAGAGGAAGAGAGAGAAAGAAATTGGGAGAGAGAAGAGTTATTAAGCTCAATCAAAAACGCGACTCCACAACAGAGTACCCCACTTTATAGATTCCTCACCTGACGACTCTGGGAGTTGTTCATTTGGTTTCAGAAGATGCTCTGCAGGTTTGCTGGGAGACTGTTTATTCTCTTCCAGATTCTCTGGCACAGGAGGACTGTCGGCACCTGGAGTAGAGGTTTCTGGGACCTTCATTTTTTGTTCCATTACCACAGTTGGTGCTGATGATACTGTTTACAACAAATTTTAAACGTTAGCATTTTTCTACTTCCGAACCACTGAGATCCCCACTTCTCTCTCCAACTATTCACCCCATTTTGCCTCCAGGTCACTTGAAAAAGCAGCCTGCTCTGAGTGCCTTGAATTCTTGTCCTCTGGCTCACTCTAAATCCCACTCCACCACGTTACCATCTGTTAGCTCTACCCAAAGTCTCCGAGTTCTTTCCTCAGTCCTTTTTACTTTCACTTTTTCTCCAAATGAACACTTTACTCTCATGGCTCCATCTATCATATTTTACTTGTCCGATCTCACTTCAACGATCCCGGCAATTTCATTCTAGCCGTTTCATCAGCACCCCAGACAAAATATGGAGAAATACCATCTTCTTGCCCTAGATCGATCATACTTCTTCTTCCATCAGCCACTCGTTCAGGCTTTGGTCGCCACTGGTGTCAGCTACAGCCACGCCTTCCTCTCTAGCTAACCTCAGCCCACTACCTTCCAGACCATACAAAATGATGTCCCCACTCCAACCATTCGAACTGTTCATTCCCCTGGTGACTTTAGCTTCCCACAGAAAATCTCAACTTCTTTACCTTTACTACACACCCAGTAACCTGTGTCTCGGCCTTCATTTCTTCCTTCTCACTTCTTCTGGAATCCTATCCACTTCTTAAATGGTCCATTTAAATACATCTGCTCGCATCATCTGGCTCTTTTATTCACACCTGCTTCCAGACCACCCCCTCTCAGCTCATTCCCTAGCCTGCTGCTTTTAGTTAAAGATCACTTCCTCTTAAAAACTCGCTTCCACCAAACAGCAATGTTGAACATTGAAGTACTAAGTGCACAACATTTAGAAGTGACTGCTACCTCTTGCCAGGGTATATTCTCAAATCTACCTTTCCCTAGTCAGTCTCATAATACATTGAATGAACTGTACTGTCTGTCAAACTTCGATCCTAAGTGACTCAGAAGCGGCCATATCTTATCGGATTTGTACAGCATGCACTACAATCAGGAAGTAGTCAATGGATGGACGGTGAGCCAAATCCGAACTCGTGGACACTTTTGAATGTACCCCAAAATGTTGTTTACTTGCAATTATCATTGTTGTTGCTGCTGTTTTCTTTAAATTATCTTCTCTGGACTTTGACCAACGAATGCAGACCTTGACAAAGCAATTGGCTACCTCTAAATGATCATAGAATCATAGAACACTAGAACTGGAAGGGACCTCAAAAAATCATTGAGTCCAGTCCCCTCTTCTCACCGCAGGGCCGAGCACCGTCTAGACCACCCCTAACAGGTATTTACCTAACCTACTCTTAAATATCTCCAGTGATGGAGATTCCACAACTCCCCTATGCAATTTATTCCAGTGTTTCACCACCCTGACAGGTAGCAAGTTTTTCCTAATGTCCAACCTAAAACCTCCCTTGCTGCAGTTTAAGACCATTGCTTCTTTTTCTATCCTCAGAGGCCAAGAACAACAATTTTTCTCCCTCCTCGTGACACTCTTTTAGATCACGCCCCATACACAATGCAATCCCCTGACCACTGCCAGAAAACAAACATTTCTCATTAATACTCCTATTCTCAATCCCTGACTTCTTTTGCTAAAACAATCTGACAAAACTACCAGAAAGCATATCTACTCAGACATAAAAACCTAACAGGCCCAATTTAGATTAAAAACTCTTAGGGGCAGGCACTGTGTCTTGTTATTTATCTGTACATCACTGGGCATATCTTGAGCATTATAATACATATTTGGGATTACATAATATGTAAACAAAATAACTGGCACCAGGGATGGGCAAAATTGCCTTTTGATGGCTTGCTCTAAATCTCTCAAAAAACCTCAATTTCCCCAAAGATTTCACAGTGCTGGAAAGCAATGCAAAGTCCTAAAATGGACAATAAAATACCAGTTCCATATTTTATACATGAAGAACTCTTGCAAGCAATTTTCTTTTCTACATACCTTGTCAGCAGAGCTGAGCTACACCCAGGAGGCTGAGTTTAAGATAGATTGGAGCAATATTTACTTCTGATGAATTAACTTCTTTATGTTCGAAAATCTTACTGGAACTTGTATGTCTGGATTGACACCAGTTATTGTACTGCAAGGTTTTTAATAGGACTTTCCTTTGCAGATTCAAGTCTCATAGTGGACTTCATACAGTATATGCCAAAATAGTTAAGTCCCTATGTACAATTTATGCAGACTTGCTGGTGACTGCTTACCTGTTGGAGGTTCAGCAAGAGCTGACTTATGTTGCTGAACAGAAGGTTCAAATGTCATCAGCTCTTCCACTGCTGGGACAGACACGTCTCCCACAGCCGGAACAGACACTGCAGAGATTAAGAGAAGTTAAAGAAACCCCCAGTGCACTTCACATTGTTAGTTTTGAAGTTTTCAAATGTGGGATGGCAAAAGGAGGAAAAACACCCACAAACTAGATTTGAAGGGCATATTTTTACCTAATGTGACTGTGTAGAATTCCTATTAGTGGCAATGGCAGACGCATCTTCGTGTACAAAGGGAAGCAAGAGTTACAATACAAAATAGTCCAAAGTCTGCATTCTTGGCTACCCTCCTTGTTTCACACTCTTGTAATACCAAAGTGGCTCAAACTACTGCATTCCGCTGCACATCCTATTTTTAATAGCACTAACTCCTACTCAGGTGTGCAGTCTTACAACCTGAAAATCCACCCGGCGTATATGAAGCCCAGGTGGTAATCTTCTGATATGTGGCAATGTGTAGCATGCATTCAACAGGAATGAGAATGACTTATTTAAGTAGCATGCTCTAGAAGAATTCCTGTGTAAATACACAAATAATTCAGCTGGCTGCACCTTTACACTTGAAATAAGTGCCAAGGATCTTCAGTTGCCACTTGAGCGCAGAACCTTGTTTTCCATCTTTTTTTTTTTTTAATCACACCTCTCCAGTTGCATGGTACCCATGGCTCTATGCCAAGTAGGAGCAATGACTTACTCCTGACTGAGAAAGCAATGCCATCAACTAAATCACTAACAAGACCACCTTCTCTCACCCAAGCACTGGCAACATCTGATACTGAACTTGACAACAGAACTCCACTTGGGATGTATATACAGGCTTTAGAATGTGCCTCATGAGCTTTTATTTCATTCAACAGACAGACAACAGCTCTCTCCCAGCTCCTAATGATTTCAGAAGTGGTCAAATTCTTCAAGGATACTGTTCACTCAGTTTAACCCCCAAATTTCAGCTTTTACAAACAAGATTTTGGGCTTTTTTTAAACAAAAGCATAATAAGACCAAAAGAACTGTTTTCATGCAACAGTCTGAGGACACTACAATTAGAATATGACAGTGGCCAAAAACAAACAAAGCCTATTTTCATTATCCAAACTTAGTGAAGTACAAAAAACAGTATCAACAGTGGGAAGTAAATTACGTTTTAAAGAGAGATTCTTAACAGTCTTAGGCAATGATATTCAACAGGTCTGGAGCCAAGTTAGCAATCAAAATTCAGAAAGAGCCACAGTAGAGCGATTTCACAGTTTCTTTGTGTGTGTACGTGTGCGTGTGGGTACACAATTCTCTTCCATTTCTAAAATGGATTTTTTAATCTAACCACAACCTTTAATCAACACTACAGGACTCACTTTTTCCAGTCATAACTGATACTTTCATTACTGTACTCAATGATCTGAAAAGCCCCATACCTAGGTTTATACCGATTATGCAGTATATTTGAATTTCCAAAGCCAAGACATTGGCCGATGTTTATTATTTACTGTTTCAGCTAGGGTATGACCCTCTCCAAAATAAATTAAACAACAAGTACAGAATATATATTACTGGAAAAGATATATAAGTGCAAGTAGTATTGTTACAGTCCAACAAATTCTGAGTTTTGGTTGACACTACGGCAATTTACATCCAACCAAAGTAGTGTCAGAACTAAAATTTGGCTCCTGTCATCAAAACTGCCCTGCTATACTGACTTAGCTGCACCTCCACAAGAGGTGGAGAGTCAATGTTCATGTAGTTGCTCATACTGACACTTACTGGCTCTCAGAAGTAATCTCACAAACTGACGCGGACACTACAATTGATGCAATTGCTCCCAGTAAGGATATGCACTGGGGACACAAGCAAAACATACACATGCACAAGCAATATAATTACTGTGGTGGCTGTATGCTGACGTAAGTTAGGTCAACTTAATTTTGTAGCATAGACATGGCCTCAGGCTCACAGGAGGCAGTGAACAATAGGAACAATAGGGTAAAGAAGCATCAATAAATTGAACCTATGATGGCACTGGTAGGACTACAGCAAAAAAGTCAGTAGTTTATTTTTTATATAGGACTACCAACCACAAAAAAAGTTACCCCGGTTTATGGAACTTTACTATTTCAACCTACAGCTCCTGCAGAACGTGAAGAATCATTTAATCAGCTGCTGGGCATATTTAATGCAACAACAAAAAATGTACTAGATTTATCATTCCCAAGTCATACAATTCAGCCAAATCCACCCACCTCTGAATTTTTACTCTTGGTGGGTTTTTGCTAGAAGTTTTGAGAATATGCTATCTTCAGTAAAATGGGCTCATCCCAGATACCAACCCCTTCAAACGTTGGACCTGAGCCTTTAAAGTAATCTTTTATCAACATCATCTTTGTCAGTGGCTTTTGTTCATCATCATCCAACTTGATACCAACTTTCTAAATATCCTCCTTCAGTTCACAATTCTGAACCATCAATATGATGGGGACTGCAATATGATGGGAACTAATTCGGCTACAACTACTCAAGAGAGATCTTGGAGTCATTGTGGATAGTTCTCTGAAAATATCCACTCAGTGTGCAGCGGCAGTCAAAAATCAAATAGAATGTTAGGAATGATTTAAAAAGGGATAGAGAATAAGACAGAAAATCTCTTGTTGCCTCTATATAAAACCATGGGATGCCCATATCTTGAATACTGCGTACAGCTGTGGTTGCCTCATCTCAAAAAAAGATCTATTAGCATTGGAAAAGGTTCAGAAAAGGGCAACAAAACTGATTTGGGGTTTGGAACAGGTCTCATATTCAAGGTACGGGCTTACTATGGATTTATGTAGTGGCAATATGATATTTCCTAACATGCCATTGGCTTTTTTTTTAAACCACTGCTGCACACTGATAGAACTAGTCCCAGTGGCTCCAAGATCTCTTTCTTGAATGGTAACAGCAAATTTAACCCATCGTTATATATGTACAGTTAGGAGTATCTGTTTCTACTGTGCATTACATGCAGTTTAGTAACACTGAATTCCATTTGCCATTTTGTTGCCCAATCATCCAGTTTTGAGAGAGCCCACTGTAACTCTTCTCAATCTGCTCTGGATTTATCTATCTCGAATAACTGTGTATCATCTGCAAACATTGCCACTTCACTGTCCACTCCTTTTTCCAGATCATTCATGAATATGTTCAACGGCTCAGGTCCCACAAGAAGCGGACTCCTGTCCTATCACAATGGTCAGCCTCTGGGTGCGGCATGGGAGGATCTTCTTCCAAAAATTTCCAACAAGTTAAAGGTTTCAGTCCTTCCTGTAGTTCAAGAATTCCAAGGTGGGGACTGACTGATTCAAGCATCCAATGGTCTGTACTTAGAGGAACCCAGTTAGCGTATGCGGCAACTATCAAATGAGAGTCCAATGTGGATCTCCCAGACATGGCTGGCTGGTGCCAATCTTTAGAGTTGTGGGACAGAGCAAGACCCAGTACCATCGGATTCCTTCTTCCTTTGTGCCTTTCATTCTTGGATAGAAGGTTTATGTAAACTTAATTCTTTATGATCTGGGTATGAGGTCTCAACCAACTTAGACCACGATGGGAGGAATACTTTATCCCCCTACCTCCTTTTTACAGAGGCAGCTCTGGACAAGTGCTAGTAATATCCCATACTCTTTTGAGGGGGATCGTTAGACTTGACTATTTGGCCCCTGCTCCAGAACTCACACTCAAAGGCGTGCTGCTCACAGTCCAAGGCTACCATGTAGGAGGTTCTCCCTGTCCTGCACTCTGTCTCATGGCCTTCTCCAAGAGGCGCTTCTACAGATGGAACTCTTGTCTCTCATGGTTTGAGGAGGGAAGGAGCAGCAGAAGCTGCACTTGGCATTGATGTGAATCTCTCCAAGGCAGCGCTGGTGTTAGTTGCTGAAGAAGAAATGGGGCAGAAGATGCAGCTCTTAAACCCCTGGATTCTTGTCATACGACATCCAGGTAGGAAGCTTCCCCAGGTAGGAAGCTAAACTAACCACACTAGCTATAAAATCGCTCACACACAAAAGATTAAATGTGTTACGAACTATTTACAATATATATTTACAAGTATTGACAGTAGACATAGACCACAACAGGAACAGAATTTCAAATGAATCTGCGCAGCAGTAAGAAGGAATTGGAGAGGTGTCAGTCCATGCCGCCCTCTGTCCTCTCAGTTCAGAGCACAAGGAGAGCATCAGAACGTACACAGACCCACTGACATTTCTTGCTAAAATCTCCAGTCTCAGCTGCATGGAGTGGAATAAACAAAGAACCCCACTCAAAGACTATGTCAAGGCGTTCATTAGAACGACGAACAGGAATGGGTCAAAGAAGAATAAGCTGCTTCTTTATATAGACTTACCCTCACAGTGAATGACTCACTATAGCCACAGATAGTTATCACTGTCATTATGCTACCCTCGTACATATTCAGTTTGCTCTTTCTCCACTAGGTATTTTTCCAATACAGAGAATTACACTGAAAAAATTAGTCATCACCTCTCCCTCATGGCCTCATGCTTTAAATGCCTCAATTGGTACCTCACCCAGGCCCACTGCCTTCCTATGTTTCATCATCTTTAGTGTTGTCTGAGTCTTCACCAGCAACGATAGAGTCTCTTCAGCAAAGATACTGAAGTTGTTGCTTGTGTACACTTCCCTTCATGGCTTCTTCAGAATACTAAATCTATTACCAAATAATCCTCCACCCACACAGACCATATTTTACCTGTGGGTTCAACCTGCAGCATGTCAGTAGCTTTGGTCTCGTCTCTAGGCTCTGTTACCGCACAAGGAACAGTGGTAGGGGCAGCAGCCACCGGACTTCCTGGCAAATATAGCTCTGCTGCATCTGTTATCCTATTGGGTTCTAGGTAGACAAAAGGAATTTAATTTAATTACACATGAATTAATTTGGAAACACGCTTGTGTATAATGGGAGATCCGCTGATTAGCAGGATTTGCATGCATTTGTCCTGTGACTGGTATGATAGCTAAATTCCAACTGGGGCCATTGAACACGACTAACACAAATTAAATAGAATACTACTATTCAAATACAGAAATTGTGTTCGCCTCTGAAACATGACCTTGATGGTATTTCACACTAATGACATCTTAGAATCAGACTCCTAGGGATGGAAGAGATCTCAGGAGTCATCAAGTCCAGCCCGTGCCCAAAGCAGGACTAATCCCAACTAAATCAACCCAGCCAGGGCTTCATCAAGCTGAGACTCAAAACCCTCTAGGGATGGAGATTCCACCACATTTCTAGGGGACCCATCCCAGTGCTTCACCACCTAGGGAAATAGTTTTTCCTAATATCCAACCTAGACCTCCCCCACTGTAACATGAGACCATTGCTCCTTGTTCTGCATCCGTCACTACTGAGAACAGCCTCTCTCCATCCTCTTTGGAACCTCCCTTCAGGAAGTTGAAGGCTGCTCTCAAATCCCCCCTCACTCTTCTCTTCTGCAGAATTCTGAACACAGCAGGGCCAGGGAGCGGTGGGAGAGTGCTAAAGGACAGGCAATGAGCCAGTGGTGGACAACCTGCAGCCCACTGGGGTTGTGTGTGTGCTCCACATGACACTGAATTTACCGTTGCCCACACATAGGGTTACCAGATTCCGCTGGTTTCTGTCCATGTTGTTTTTTTCCTACCGGTATTACTAAAGTGACGTGCACATAAAGCAAGGGCACGTGAAGTGCATGCTCACTAGGGATGTTAAATATTCCTGTATCAGAGGCAGCAGCGCAGGGAGCCAGGCGGGAGGTGATCCATGAGGGGAGCCAGTTTAAAAACCAGCTCCCCTCGCAGAACTGCTGCCTGTCGCCCCACGCTGCTGCCTCTGCTACACAGGCAGCAGTGTGGGGTGATAGAAGCCCTTATCTGGGGAGAGGGGGGTCTGAGCTCCCAGACCTGGTGCGAGCTGGAACTCAGCCAGGCTGCCTGCTCACTTGCCTACTCCTCCTCATTGCAGGAGGAGTAACAGTAGTTCGAATTAGGAGCTTTAATTCGAACTACCTAGCCCGTGCCGCATGTAGCTGCGGGCAGGGAGTTCGAACTACCGGGCATTTAAAAATGGCGGCGCCTAGGAACATGCAAATAAAGCCCGGGATATTTTAATCCTGGGCTTCATTTGCAAGTTTGAATGACTACATTAGCCACCCTGGTTCAAACTAGGGTGGCAGTGTAGACTTACGCTTTGGGAACTGTAGCAGCAGTCCCATTTTCAGCTCTATCCAGTCTGAAAGCTGGTTACTAATCTTACTGTCATCTGTTTTCATTTTATTTCCTGGATCACCTTCCCTAATAATGGGAAGCGTAAAAATACAAAGAGGAGGGCCTGCCGCCATCTGTCCCCTTGGACATGGGGTTAACGTCCCTGCTGGAGTACTTTGGCCTATTCCCATTCATGTGGTCTGCGAATAGGTTGGTTGTGGGTAGGCTGAATGATTGGACAATTCACCAAAATATCACATGAAGCCAGTCATTCACCTTGTGCCTGATAAGCCAGACTGCTTGCTGGCTCAGGTCTCCCTTGATGTGAGCTGCCATAAGAGAGAGAAAAGAATATTTTGGCCACTCTGATTTCTGCTGTTTCAGCGTTTAGTGCAGGGCTTCTGGTTGCCCCCGGTGGTCCACACGTGTGTCTGTGGCTGAGCTGTTTGACTGAAGCAGGACTTGGCTCCCCTCTACACTGGTCTGGAACCTTTCACTGAACCAGCCTGACTAAGGTTTGCGCTTTGGAACCTTTTCTCCAGGTGCCTTGAGCTGTTTGGGACCCCATGTGCATCAGGAAAACGGGGCCCCTGGAAGTCATTGCCCTTGTAAACTTTCCCCTGAACTGACCATCATTTTAAAGATTTTATCACCAGGGCCGCAACCCCCTCTTGACTCTCCATGCATCTGGGAAGCAGTCCCAGACTTTGAAGATGAAGCCAACGGGGGTGTGATTGTGCCCAGGGATCCCTATGCATGATCAGAAGAGGCCTCTTGTAATTCCAAAATAATACAGAGGTCTTGAATCTTCTGGTACCTCTCTGAAAACGCATATACCCTTGCTAGCTTGGTGTCTCATGTTCAATCCCAAGTGAGTTATCTGGGTGGACACAATGAAGGTGGTTTGTTTTGGTGTTGATGATAAAGCCTTGTGCTTGTAGGAGATTGAAATTAGAGAGACAGCTCAGTGTGCCATTTCTAGCGACAGAGCTCAGATTAAGAGATCGTCCAAGAAGGGGCACAGGTGGAACTATGTGGTCTGCGTCCGGTGAGGAGTACCACCAATATCTTTAAAAAGATCTAGAAGACCAAGGACAAGCTGAATGGGAAATTCACATATCGATAATGCTTCCTATTCTAGGCAAACCTCAGCAACCTTTGATGGCAGGGTCTGATTGAGATGTGTATACATCCGCGGATCTACCCAAGTCATAAAATCTCCCTGGGACCGGGATGACAGAGGTTAGTGTCTCCATCTGGAACTTTGTTGTCTTCATCCACTCGTTGAGCCTTTTGAGATCCAGAATGAATCATATTCCTGTGTACGCTTCTGAGTGATTAAGATGACAGTTTCTCTTCTACCTTCTGAGGGAATGCTCTCTATTACTCCCACATCCAGGAAATGAGAAATCTCGTGCCAAAGTAAACTGTGCTTTATGGGGTTGTTAAGGCAAGGGACTGGATTAACAACGGATGGAGTGGAGCCTGTAACGCAAAGGAGTATCCCTGACTCACTAACTCTGACCCACTAGACCACGGGAAAAGAAGCCTTTTCCTCCAAGATATGGAAAATCCTTCCCCCAGGCTTCAAGCTCCAGCCAGAGACCTATGCAGTCATTGCAAATGCCAAGGTTCCCGCAGGAAAACGTCTTCGCTAGTATTTCTGCGAGGGTGAGGGAATGCCTTTGCCTCAAGGCCAGCGTGTGCTCTCGCAAAAGGCATGCTCTGACAGCGGGAGGGTCTGTTTAGACCGTGTGGCATTGTCTGCAGCTACTTGCTTAGCTTCTCTCTGAAAATCAGGGCTCCCGTGAATTTGGCGAAGGATAGGACAAGAAATGGAGTTGTAGATGGCACCTGGTTACTGAGCTGGAGGCCAGGTCTTTGGCTGAGACTCTCACAGCATCCACTGATCTTTAAGTAGAGCCAAATTCGGGGTGATCTCCATCATTGAAGGCTTGGCAATATTCATGCCAGGAGAGAGCGAGATGCCTTCACAAAGCAGGTAACACTAGGGAGGGCCCTGAGGGAGATTAGGGAATGTCAAGTCTTTTTTTTGAAAGTGCCCTCCATTTTTCATACATAGGGTCCTTAGGCTACAGCTCCCTTTCTGAGGGGAAAACCATCTCTTTGGCCAATGATGCTAAGATAGAATCAGCCTTCAGTATCTCAGTAACTGGGGCTTTTGGTGCCTGGATCCTATACAACTTTAAATCATTTCCATTCACGTGTTTGCCCTAGTCTGGCATGTCCCTTTCATCCCTTATTACTTCCTCAAAGTAGAAGTGTGGGGGAAGTGCCGCCTTGGGGAAGATTTAAGGGAGAAATTTGCTCTGTCTCACTCTTGGGGCTTTTTTCAGGTTGAATCTGAATAGTGGATACAACCTCAGTGCACATGGCCACAGACGGAAAGGGGGGAGGGACTGGTGTGGGGATTTTGCTGAATCTTTCTCTGGTCCTGATCATAATCAGAACCCGACTATTCACCAGCGTCTGTGGAGAAAGGAGGAGGAGGAGAGGAGTCAGAGGACTCGGACCTCCTAAATTTCATGCTTTTTCTCCTTTTTTGCTTTCTTTAGTTTGCTTAGGGGGTATAGGGGAGCTCAGTCACAGCTTTGGTGAGGCCTTTTGCTTTGCCAAGAGCCTGAAGTTCTCTCATGAGATCTCTTTGAGCCCCTGCCTGCTAGGTCCCACTCCCTGAGGGAGGGGAAAAGCTTCCAGAGCCCCTGAACTGAGAAGGAGGGAGGTGCTCATGAGCAGGGCTCGACAATTAATGTAATCTACTTGCCCATGGTGAGTAGATTTTAGCCCGGTGCGGCCGCACAGCGCGGTTTGCGCGTGCGCAGCATGCGGTTCCGCGCGGCTGGCAAGTGGGGCTCGCTGCCGCTTGGCGAGCCCTGCTCATGAGCCCTGCTTCTTTTCCTAGGGGACTCAGGGCTATCTGTGACTTGACAAGTCTGCCTTCTCTGTCCACCATCGGCCCTGTGGGAGATGGAGAGTCAACTTAGCTCCCGAGTTGGCTGACTGGAGAGGGTTCCCATCTTTGGAGCCTCTCCCTGCTCTGCCCATATATTCCCGGTCTATTTTTAGCACATCAGAGTTATAGATGCTCTGGAACATAGGGGATGCCCGAAGACCTAATGGAGCTAGGGACAGACAGCTGAGTACAGGCTGGACATAACTCACTGACTGTTGAACCTGGGAGGGCAGCTTCACAGATGGAGCACATTTGGATTTCAGGGTGCTCTGCCATGCCCGGAAGGCACAGAGGAGCCAGAAGGGAGGGACTGCAGCTGAGGCTCCATGGGGTTCCAATACCTCGGTTAAAAAAACTAGCCCAGGACAGTATGACTATGGCATAGATTGCCAAACTGACAAAAAAGCCCTCCTTAGGCATATGCGAAGGCGAGATCTGTAAAACCTGCCATCTGCATGGTGCCACAGAGGCAGAGAAACTGGAAGCAAGCAAAATCACAGGGGCACAGCCAGACCAAACACTGACCTGCCCCCGGGAGCTGCAAAGAGAGGTCCAGATGTCACAAACTGGGGGAGTTATGGTTTCATTAAGTCTGCTACTTTCAACTAGAATTAAGCATTTATAAAGATGTGCACAATCTCGGAACATTCACGCTTCATTTTATAGCTTTTCTCAATTCTCAGCACTTTGCCACGAGAAATGTACCTCCAATGAAAGATGCTTTTTAGTCCAAGGATGTTACAGAATCAACACAGGCATGTCTTGCTATACTACCTACAACACAGCCCTTCACCTCCCTCTTTAAGAGGGATGCAAAGACCAACTACTTCTGGCATTTTAACCCTGCTGAAAGACTCCAGAAACAATTTTCTGGGAATAACCTTATACTTTACATTTTTACCTGATGGTTCTACAAAGAAAGAGGTTTCTGATCCCTTCACAGCATCCTGAGCTCTCAGCCAATTTTCTTCAGGCACCGTCCCTCCTGCAGTTGCTAAGGGAAACAATTAGTACAGATAGCCACGTCAATGCAAACAGCACTAGCTCTGGACTTCAAAACTGACGTTCAGCTACATATATTTACTTGTGTGGTACAGGCTCGGCTGCTCTCACAACAACATTCTTAGAGAGAACTTCTTAGTACATTCTGGGAAACCTTAGAGGACCTGAGCATGTTCTCCATAATATCCCAGGATTATATAAAAGGGTAATAAAAGTACTAATTTTAAAATCAGCAAGCATACGAGGCTCTCTGGTCAATGGGATATTCTGTCCCCAAATATCTTCAGAAATCTCTTAGGTAGAAAATGGAGTTGAAGCATTTTATGTCCTTTCTAATGGATATTAATCTTGACTCATTTTATGTAACTGGAGAAGCCAAATATGACCTTTTTCAGATTAATACACCTAACAATTTCTGACCTGCAGATCCCTCTAACCCAATTATAAAATAGCATGGCAACAGCAGAAATGTGTTTCACCTGCTATATTCATCAGAGATTCTGCAGTTGAATCCAGCGTAATGAAGGGGGATGGATCTATAACTTCTGCAGGAGAATATGGGAATCCCAGAGAAGGTTGTTCTGGTACCATCACAATTGAATGGGGTGCTGTAAGAAATAAACTACATTTGTCACTGCCAAATTGATTTGTTTCTAACAAACTTAATTAATTTGGTCCACTAACTTACAGAACAAATGTTTATTTTCATCACAAAGCAAGTATGCATATACTGAAGATAAACCTACCCATTAATTTACTCAGAGAGGCATTATATCTGCTATACAGATGAAAGCTAATCAAACGTTATTGGGCAGTAAAAGGAAAGTACTGTGCCTTTCAGGTACTACTCCCAAATAAGCTTTTGTTATAGTAACTCTCTAGCTGCCACAATCCAAATGTAACCCATCAAGTGAAAAATGGGGATAGAACATTTCAAGATGAAGCTAACGTTTCCAGTAACAATGGTTTAATTCAGCTTTTCTTTTTAACTAAAACAAAATAGGACAAAAAGGGGGTGGGAGACAGGGCCTCCCCCCCCCCCCCCCCCCCAACACTGTTTAGAACAAGAGATTAGAGAGAAAAATGGGGATAAAATTTTTCACTATCGCCTGTTTAATGGACTTCCTGTAAATAGCACAGAATTCCATAGATAGAAGCTGAAAACTGAACCCCTGGTTAACAGCATCCCATGAACATATTCAATGGAGGATTATACCATGAACTTCTTTTGAAGCTTCAAAATGCTCTGTGAAAGGTGGGACAGTCTCCATTTCTGAAGGAAGTAGCAGCAGATCAGACAGGACATCTTCTCTGTGCATCGTGAAGGGCACTGAGGAACAGGAGAATAAGTCAAACATTATCACGAAGGGATGACAACAGGAAAGTAAGATGTCAGAATGCAGAGGATGAGCCTTGCTACCAGCATTGCCCTGAAAGACGTTATACAAAGTTAGGAAATGCGGGTGCCCCCACTTAAAACAACAACTTTTTTTTTTGTAGCCAAAATGAGCTGAAGAGTAGAATATAAATATTGTATGGTGTGCTTGTATGTCCCTCTTTCTAACACCAGCAGCATTTAAGTACTGGATGATTTGATGGAGCAGAATACCTGATCTGAGGCAGGAATGAAAACTGATCCAGCTCAGTTCACTCAAATGTCATGTCCCATACTGAACTTTGGGGAAAAACATATAATGATCCATATACGTACACTTTCCTCAAAGCATCATGGAGCTCAAAGCCTTTTGAGCTAGAGGAGGAATTTAGCAAAATAATGAGCCAGGCACAGAAATCACCCTTCTCCTCTGTCATTCAATGACAGTACAAGATGATTGAGGCAGGATATGAGTCTATAACAGGAATGGGTAGGGTAGGTTTTGTGACCTATGGTAAGCAGGAGGTCAGACCACATTATTATGATGGTACCTTCTGGCTTAAAATCTGTGAGGAGAACAAGCTTTGTTATTTGCCCCTGACCAGACATGCTGGTTAATCAGTCTTGCCAAGGAATTGTAGTGCAAGTCAGCAACAGGCAGCAAGAGGCTGAAATTTCATTTTACCTGGACTCAGTTTTTGACTGGCCTGCCAGACAACAGATATGTAATATAGCCCAAGACAGGCTAAGTATTTATATCGCTCCTTTGATGGTATAGACTCAGAGGTCAAGCCAGACACAAAAAAAAGGAAAGGAACTTCCATTTCAGCAACTCTCCGTGCGTATTTACACATACACTGTCTTCCAAATAAACAGTGTGACCACTTACGCCAGACACCGTGAGAACAGTTGCACTGTATTTCTCGTGCTTGCTTCTTTAACTGCGCAGACCAAGCCATTGAACAGAAATGGAATGAGTAAGTGTAGTAGATTGTTTTTCCCCTCTGCCCGTGAGGCCAGCTGAGCTGTAAAAACCAAACACGGGCTGGGCTGACCGCTATGTCCTAATATAACACCCCCCCCCACATAATAAACAACATGTGACTGCGTGACGGTGCTCTCACAGCGAGGAGGTTGTGGATGAGGAGGAGTACAGAGGACAAACAACCAGGGGATCCAGCTGCACAGCGAGCCAGGACCCAGTTTAGATCTAAGCACCCCCTACATTGTATGGCCACACAGCTTCCCTTCATGCGCCGCGCAGAGGCTCACGGCTGCAGCGGGAAGAGATTTCTCTCCCTAAGGCCTGAAGCCGCCAGGGCCAATGGTGAGGGGCTGTGGGCCCCAACACCAGTGCTCCCTGAAAGCTGTGCACTCATGAGGCCGTTCAGGAGACATTCCAGTGCCACCCAGCTGATTAGCAGCGCGCCCACAGCTGGTTTTTTTTGTTTCTACTACTGGTGCACTTGCCTCTGTGCACATGCCTTGGCACGCACAAAAAAAACTCGTCTCGTCGCAATGATGGAAAAAATCCGCACAGGGATGGAAAATATTAGAGGGAATGTTGCCCAGCAAGGAGCTGCAAGGGACGGGAGGGGAGCGCCCCTCCCCACTGGCCCCAGCAAAGATCTGGTGCGTGCAGAAGAAAGCCCCGCTCCCATCCCCAGCAGAAAGCTGCCCAGGCACTGCCGGACACCCTCCTCCACCTTCTGAGGGCTGGAGCCCAAGTCACTGCCATGCCTGGAGCACCTCCACCCCCAGCTCTGACTCTCCTCCCACACGCAGAGCCCCCGGGTCCCATCCCCGTCACATGAATTTTATTACGTGCACCCGTGTGAAGGTCACATGTTGCACATTCACCTCCATATTGGTGCACATAAGAAAATTTATTCCACTCGGGGTGGAATTTTTTTTTTTTTTTTTAAACTCCACTGCAGTCCTGCCAATCGCGGCAAATGCAAAGAAAAGGAACTCAAAAAAGTATATGGATGAATTTTCAGTTACAGGGGGCGACGTAGTGGGGGGCTGTCTGCTCTGTAACCCAGGGTCCCCCTGCACTGGGATGTGCGATTCCCACTGACTCACCCACATGTAGATTGGCCCAGACACCTAGGCCCAGCTTGAGCAGATAAGGCTCTTCCAAGAGGGAGAGACAAAGGAAGGGAGGCAGAGGCGGCCACCTGGCTGGGGGGCAGGGTCTGGGAGCGAGGCAGTTTCTGGCTGGGAAACACGAAGGGAAAAGACTAAACTGAGTGCTGAGGGGTGATGGATCCCCTAACCCAAGGGGTCTGAGGCATCCTGTCCCTGACTCCTGTAACCACATCACATCTATGCTGGGCTGTATCCCGGAGAAGCAATAAACCCTCTCTGTTCTACTGGCTGGCGGAGTCTGTTCTCGCTGCTACGGGGGTGCAGGATCGGTGGGGGGGGAACCCCTACGCACCATCACACAGGACAAGTCACATCTTTTGTCTTTTCATTAACACTCATTCCAGAACAGGTCATGGCACAACCAAGAGAGGCAGAGGTGCTTCTGCTTTTCCTTCTCCTCTACTTAGGGAGAGTGCTCACGAGCAGAAACTCGTGTATGAGAACAGGGATATCCCTGGAATCCTCCTGAGAGAGCACGATTAAACTTTTATAGAGGTGTTCGGAAAGCTTTGGCAGAGGATTGCAGGAGAGGGCTGCCTCAGTTCTCCCCGTGTGGCAGAACGCTTTCCCACGCCACTCAGCGACCACTTCAGCAGGCATCACTGCCATACACAGTCAGGCAGCGTCTGGGCCCCAGCAGCAGTGGGGGGAAAGGCCAGTCCTCGCTTACAGACTACCCCCTAATTTCAAACATTCTTTCCAGTAACCACGCAGCACACCATCATAATCTTCCAGGAACCCAGCCCTGCACTCAGCCCTGGTGCCAACTCTGCCCACACATCTACACCAGCGATTTCATCACTGGACCCAGCCACATCAGCCACCAAATCAGAGTCTCATTGAACTGCACATCCACTAACGTGATCTATGCCATCAAATGCCAACAATGCCCCTCTGCCCTGTATATTGGCCAAACTGAACAGTCTCTACGGGAAAGAATTAAAGAACGCAAATTAGATATCCAAAAAGGCAATACAGAAACCTGTTGGTTTAATCTACCTGAACACTCATTCATGGATCTCCAAGTCACTGTTTTGTTTCAGGCCAATTTCACAAGCCAAATACACAGAGAAGGGTTGGAACTTAACTTCAGTCATAAGTTTAATTCTTATGCAAATGGTATGAACAAGGACATGGGCTGGCTCTCACCCTACCTTCCATACCCGAATGACTTAACCAACCAACCAATGAAGGTGCCAATTGTTTTTATCAGCCTGTTGTAACTATTTCTATTCAATTTCTCTCTCTTTCTCCTTTCCCCCTCCTTTTTTCCCCCCCCCTCTTTTTTTCTCTCCTGTCCCCTATTTATTCTTGGATCTGCACTTCTAACACTCCCGTCAGCTGAAGAAGTGGACTGCACCCTCAAAAGCTCATGATCCCATCTACATGTTTTGTTAGTCTCTACGGTGCTACTTGTCTATTTGTTTTTTTTTAAGTTTTTCTTGTTACAGACTAACTCGGCTCCTCCTCTGAAGCTTATGGAATCAAGAGTCACTACACTACCTCTACCACTGCACCACAAAGCACATTAAAGACCATCTGAGCTTCACATATATCGGGGGTGGGCAGTAATTTTCATAGGGCGGCCACCGCTCCACACCTAGAAGTGACAGGGAACTAGCCTTCCCCAATGGTTGTCTGGGGCCGGGAGCTTTGAAATAAAAACACAGCAAAGGGTCGCCTAGCAGCCTCCCGGGGTTGCTGTAGCTATTTATAGGATTGACCAACTCCAGCCTCTGCCAGGGTAGCACCACGACCAGGAGTCCTTTAAATAGCTGCAAGCAACCCCGGATGGCCGCCAGGCAATGCAGTAGCAGCAGAACCGCAAGCCAATTGCTTCTATTTAAAGGGCTTGCAGCTCCGGACCCCACCGCTACCGCATTGTCTGGCAGCTATCCAGGCTTGCTGCAGCTATGTAAATGGCTCACGACTCCGGCCCCTGCCAGAACAGCACCATGACTGGGAGCCTGGAGAAATAGGATCCTGGTACCTGAGTCGTCACCTTGAAATCCAGTGGCACAGGCAGCAGGACAAATAGAAAGCAGCCAGATGCCGTCCATGGGCCAGATCAGCGTTTGGTGGACTGGATCCAGTCCCTGGGCCACATCTTGCTCTGCCCTGACACTCTGACCTGTGAAAGCTACGGTTTGTATTCATGCACCTGGAATGGGGGTGGAGGGTTCTTTCCCCTACACAAGTTCTGCTCTTTTCAGTTAAACTTTTAGTTTTCAATGCATTGGTTTAAAAATTGCCATTTTTGCACTGATATTATTACAGAATAATTTCTATTATAAAGATAAATTATGTTCCACATTAGTTCACAACACATCCTACCAAGTGGCCAGCCATTCAGAAAAACGAAATGTCACACAATTCACAGGCTCAGTCACAAGATGACTCAGTACATTGACAATGATACAGTCCCACACTTATAACAGTCACCACAGAATTCCTATCACACCACAGAAGAGTGGGTCCAAGTAGAGCACACTACACCCTCATGCACTATTTCAGCTCACTATTACACAGTCTTTCAAAGCCCCTCTGTGCTGTAAAAGCTCTGCTCTGAGCTCTTCTAATAGCCCTGGTATCTGCTACTCAAATTCACCAGACATCTTTGCCCTCCATCCCAGCAGAAAGCTTTCCTCACTTTGCGTCACGTACGTTATGCAGGACACAACAGGCAGCTATAACCCCTGGAATACTTCTTTCACTTGAGGTACAGTCTTATGAGTAAACAATGCCAGCAACCCTTCAAATGATCAAAAGCACGTTCGACATCATCCTGCACCTGTTCAGCCAGTAACTGAATGTTCTCTGGTGCTGTCGAGGTGGCCAGTATGACTTCCCAGTTAAGTATGACTTGTCCTCACTTAATCAGAAATGGTCACAAGCAAAATAAAGATAAAATGATTTCTAAACTTACACTGGTTCAAAGTGACAGACCATGCTCTCAGGCCAGAATCTGCTCCCAAAGTCCAGCTGACTGGTAGCAAGTTTCCACAGTGCAATCACCACTCACTTCTACACTGTCAGTGCAACTCTCATTTTGGTGACCCTGTGCTAGAACTGGGGTGAGCTCAGCACACCCAGGTTCACCAGCCACTGCTGATTACCCTAAACCTGCTTTATAATGCAACGCCAACAATCAGGGCTTGTTTCTTGGTCTCAGCAGTGGCACTCCATCTGCTGCTCCATGAACAACACACAAGCTTGAATTGGTTCTGTGTCCCGTGGCAATCTGTCTCCCAAGGAATTGGCATGATCCCCGCTCAAACAGTTTTTGCTGCTCTGCAAATCTGTGCTTGCAATGCTCATGAAAACAGCGCAGAGCTGTGCAAGCTACATGCTTCTGTCACAGATGACAGACTGATGGTTATGGAGGTTTGCGGGATTTAAAAAAAAGTCAAATTACTGATACAGATATCATAATGGATGGACACAGCTGTAAATAGGGATGTTGATCCCATAATGCCCAATAATCCCTGACTGACTTGTTCTGGCCCTATCATACATTTCCCAAATTTCACAAAAGGCAGTGTGCTGGGCAGTGGCATTACACAATGGCGCATCTACCCAGGATACATCTCACACTGCATCTGTGACAGCATCCCGGTATGCACTGCCATGGTGCACCCCCAATGAAAGCAGCCAAACCTGCAAACACACAAGCGACATAGTAACTGTGGAAGCTGCATGCTGACGTAACTTGAGCTGATGCAAGTTTTCCGTGTAGACTCTAGGGGTGTGTAAACATTAACAGGTCTGAAATGGCTCTACATTAGGGGGCCAGGGGTCTAGCCAGAAAAGGCATTGCCATTGCCCTTCAAACAGGTTTTTTCTCTTTGTCCTGGCAGCCTTGGGAAATAGATAAGCATGCAGCCTGACTTTGTTGCTGTGACATAGCGGGGGTGCTGTTCCAGTCACTGCTGCAGTGTGTGGGTGTACCTCAGTGTCCCCCCTCCCCCCTTTGCAGCTCTCTCTGCATGGGGGGGGGAGAGGCCAGGCATGACCCATTGTGGAAGTATGTCAGTGTCTCACCTCCTGGAAGCCAGGTGACAAAAGATTCACCTTTGGTCTGGGAGCAGGACAATGCAGGAGGCGGAGCTGCCTGGAGGCTCAGGGTCCAGTGGGGGGAGGGGGTTTGCTTTAGTCTTGGTTGGGGGAAGCATGAAGGGAGCAGACAACATCAAGTACAGGGGGGATTCAAGGGCCTGTGAACCCCTTTTCTCCAAGAGGGCTACAGCTGTCTGCCCTGACTCCTATGTCAACATGGAGCCTGTGCTATGCTGCACCTCTGAGAAGCAATAAACCCTTCTGTTCTACTGGCTGGCGGAGCCACATCGGGCTGCGGACTGGGGCGCAGGGTCAGGGGGCTCCCCAACGCATCCTCACAGTTGTGTCTTTTGTTTATCCTCATTGGCTCTGCATAACACACCTTCAGGGTCGAAATCCCCTGTAATCTCTGTAACCTGTTAGCTTGTAGCATGGGAATGTGTTGATTTGATTGGAAGTTCAGTAAATAGTAATTAGGGGCGGGTATAACTGTATTCATTATTTGCTTATTAATATTCATTTTAGAGTGAGGCAGGTTTCAGCTCTGCAACAGATTTGCTGAGACACTTTGGGCACATCACTTAACAAATAAGGGTATGTCTACACTACCACCCTAGTTCGAACTAGGGTGGTTAATGTAGTCATACGAACTTGCAAATGAAGCCCGGGATTTGAATTTCCCAGGCTTCATTTGCATGTTGCCGGGCGCGACCATTTTTAAATGTCCGCTAGGGCGGACTCCGTGCCCGCGGCTACACGCGGCACGAACTAGGTAGTTTGGACTAGGCTTCCTATTCCGAACTACCTGTACGCCTCGTGGAACGGGGAAAGGGGTTACTTGAGCGAAAACAGGACAAACGCCAAACTTTGTCCCAACAGTCCAGAACTAGTGACTCACTCAGCATTTGGATTATTCATAGTCGTAAGACACCCATCTTGTACAGTCACACAGGGGATCAAGAGAAACTAAACACCTGCATAAGAATTGTAAGTGCAAGAATATGAATTCCAGAAGCGAAGCTTTTTGCCATTGGTTCCCTGTTATATATACAAATGGGATACTTGCTCTAGCTATGAGTGCAGTGGGTAATAAACCAGTTTATTTTCTGATGTTTGTGCACTTCTACATATTAGTCCTTTACTGTCAGCCTTGTAGGCAAATATTAAAGTCAGCTCTGGATTAACTATTGTGTGAAATTGCATTTTTCAGAATTTCAAGTCCTTGTTTGGATTTGATGGGGCATCCCATCATGCATCTATTGGTACCAAATGAAACTCACTCCAGTACATTAAGCCATGCTGAGGGAGACCGCACGGCTCAATATTGTAGTTATTGGTGCTCTATAAAAAAATAAATGAGCTTTAATTTAGAATGAGGCAGGCAAGCAGAGAGCAAGTGAAGACAGATAAGCTCTAGGAACTTCAACAAGTGAAGAAAATTATTAAAGGAAGAAACTGGATCCAAAGAACAAGTCTTTGGCTTTACGATCCATTTTTGTACAAACTCATAGGAAATAAGATATTGCCCTTCCACGAGTTCCCAGTTAAACATTTAACAAAAATGTGGAACAGCAGCATCTGCTCACACCCCTTGATGAGGAACATACAGTAAATGTCACTTCTGCCCAGGTCATGAAATGTTCCTCAGTCTCCATGAACAGAAGCAGAATACATCCAATTCTAAGCTGTTTGGCTGTTCTTTCAATAGCATAAATCCCCACTGAGCTAAAATCTGGCAGTAAGATCCAAGCCTGGGAGAAATCTGACAGTCGAACAAAATCTTTAGATACATATTTTTAAAAAAGAAAAGTATGTTTCTACGTGTTAAACCTCTCTAGTCCGGCAACATCTACGGTACGGCAAGACCACGGATACTGCGGGACCACAAAGCCTGGGAAGCCGGCAGTGGAGCCCTGGGGGCAGCAGAACTCTGGCAGCCTCAGCACTCCTGGAGCAGCATAGATCCGGTGGCCCCAGGACAGTGGAGCCCTGGCAGACCTGGGCCAGCAAAGCCCCAGCAGGCCAAGGCTAGGTGGGGCCAGAGTGGCTGGTTGCAGAGCCAGGTGGGGAACCCAGTGGGGTCTGCTGATAGACACTCTATAATCTTAATAGACGACCAAAAATGATGCAATTTAAATTGGCTCACATGGCAGCGCTCTGTGTCCACAGAACTCATTAGAGTACAAAGGTACAATTCCCAGGCTACCTATTCTGCTGTTGTGGGTTTTTTAGCGTATGTCCTCTGTCTCATTAACACACAAAGCTGACAGTTTATAAAACACACTGGGGTGTTGAGGCTTTGGACTGTGGGCAATGAATTTAGGAAAAAAGGTGAGCGTGGGATAGAAGAACAGCCACTGTGTCCACAGAACTCATTAGAGTACAAAGGTACAATTCCCAGGCTACCTATTCTGCTGTTGTGGGTTTTTTAGCGTATGTCCTCTGTCTCATTAACACACAAAGCTGACAGTTTATAAAACACACTGGGGTGTTGAGGCTTTGGACTGTGGGCAATGAATTTAGGAAAAAAGGTGAGCGTGGGATAGAAGAACAGCCATGCAGGCTATGATGCATCCCTAAGGTTATTCTAACACTGGTGTAGGTTAATACAGCCATACCTGCCTCCTCCATCGGTCTGAACATCGGCTGTGATTCAAAGCAAAGGACTCTGTCATCCATCGACCAGGTCTCATTGCGATCAAGAAACTCTTTACAGGACATTTTTTCATCCATGATCTCCCCAGGGGATACTGAAATGTGAAGAGAAAGCAGCAACACTTAGCAGTGAATCACAAGGCTGAATTACTTCTGCATAGATGGCTTATGTGACGCTGAATGGCAGAACTTTTGCTAAGACTGACAGCACACATGGCTTCTCAGTGAAATCAGACCACTCAATGTGCTGCCATTCTACAATTTTAATGAAGTTCTCTTAAAGAGCAATGAAGGAAGGCATAAAATTTGAAGAAGCTTATAAAAATAAAAATAGAGTATGTATAAACCACAAAGTCGTCAGATGCCTTTAAATGCTGAGAAATTAGTGCTAGCAGCACACCCTACACGCTAGGGTGCATCTTCACCAGACAATTACATCAAGTTAAACTGAGTCCTTCAAGCTATGTTCCATCTAAGGCATCCCTTATTTGTGATATTTTTCCCTCAGGAAAAGAGTAATTCATAAGGGCCAGGCAATGCTGCTGACCTCCCAACACAGCTGCACACTCCTCTATTTATCTAGCACAAGACAAAAGAGCAACTGCACATTTTCATGATCACTTGTCCCTGTGCCTCTTCAGTAACTGCTAATGTATAAACTGAGCTGGAATGATTAGACATTTCAGGAAGAAAAACAAAAGCAACAGGTACCCATCCGTAAGTGCTAGAACTAGGGATGCTAAAGGTTAACCAGTTAACTAGAAAGCATATGCCTTACTGGTCTGCTTACCAAGGATGTGAAACAGTGAGCAATTTACTTCTCAAGTAGTCGATGGAATTTCCATTGACTATTCGACTAGTTGATAGGCACTTCCACGCTCCTCCTCTGAAATGTACAAGAGCCCCTACTTGGGGCTCTTGTACATTTCAAAGGAGGAATGCGGAACTCTGTGCACAGCCCGGGGCCAGTGGGAAGTCCCGCTGACTCCGGGCTGCACGCGGGTGTGCCAGCTTTGAAATGCACAAGAGTCCCCAGCAGGGGCTTTTGTGCATTTCAAAGTGAAAGCAGCCTCATGGAAGCTGGCTGGCACCAGCGGGGGACTCCGAGTCCCCCACTGACCTGAGCTCAATGCAGCGCTACTGCTTTGAAATGCCACATGGAGCCCAGGGTCTGGCCTCAAGTTCCACGCAGCATTTCCCCAGAACCCAGGGTCAGCTGGGGACTCCCCAGCTGATCCCGGGTTCCACAGAAATGGAGCCTGGGATCAGCTGGGGAGTCCCCAGTTGACCCCAGGCTCCACACAGCGCTGACCATCTCGGTGATTCAAAGGGGCAGCACCACACAACTGAGCCCGGGATCAACTGTGCAGTGCTGCCGCTTTGAAGTATCTCCTCTTCCTCCCCCCTCTGCTGCTTCTATATAATAGAGGCGGCAAAGGGGGAAGGGGGAATGGACTAGTCGAATGGACTATCTGATCAGCTTTTGCTTATTGGATAGTCGACTAGTACTTAACATCTTTACTGCTTACCAGCTAAGCAGAGGCCCCCACCACCACCACGATGGCCCAGTTGGCAGGACCCTGGCCAGCTGGGGCTGGGGCAGCCTCTGCCGCCCAGGGCCACAAGCGAGCCAGGGCTGGAGCAGACCCCCCCCCTTTCCCCTCCACCGGTATTTAACTGGTTAAAGAAATCACTTAATCAATTAACTACTCTGGGCAATTTTTACATCCCGAGCTGGAACAGAGGAAAAGCTCTGGGGCCTGAAGGAATTCAAATGCAGAGCCAAACAGAACCTACTGGGCTACCGCAAGGTTCAACGTGCACCAAACGCTATAATTGCCACAGGCCAAACAACAAAATCTCAGTGTTGCCAATGCATGTGAGCTTATTACGGGTCCCTCAATGTTTGGTTGTTTTGTAAAAGCCTAATCATCTGCAATTATTTAAATGATCTGGTCCAGTCTGGCAATTCCACACTCCTATGAGATCTCAGAAAATTCAGTGTTTTACAACTGTCCATGAAGACTCCCTCTAGTCTGCTCCAACCGCCATTTGCCTGAGAACCTTAAAACAGTCTGGGGTCTGCCAGGCATCCATCAGAATCAACAGAGAAAGTGTCGGGCGAGGGAGAAAGCAGTGTATGGGGGAAGGGGAGCGGCCCTTGAGCAGGAAGGGAGTTCAGAATCAGGCGAGTGAACACCACAGGTCAGGAGTCTTGAAGAGCTCAGGGACAGACAGGAGAGATGCAAGAGCAACAAAATACGGTTTTATTAAAAGCTTGCAGATACCTAAAGATACCTATTGGCATAGCACTGTCAGCTGATTACATGCAATTAATAATACAAATCTGTTGCCAAATCCTAGGTGTATAGCTTTGAGGGCCAGAGAATGGGAATTTAAAATGTAAACTCCTATTAAAGCGTTTTGATAACAATAATATACAAATGCACACATCACTTCTGTATGCTAACACACATGCATATAAATCCCACCACGCCAGAAAAGAAGTGTGTTCAGAAAAGGAGGATGTTAAATATCGATTAATTGACTAGTCGAGTGACCTCATGAATTCTTATCAATCACTCAACTATTCTATAGTCGCCGGGGGCGGGACTGGCAGCCAGTGCGCTCAGGCCCCAGTCCCAAGGAGCCCCCTGCCACTCTACATGGGAGTTGGTCCGTGAGGGGAGCCAGTTTAAAAGCCAGCTCCCCTCGTGGACCGGCAGCTTGTTGTCCTGTGCTGCTCCCTCTAATAAAGGGGCAGCAGCATGAGGTGGCATCAGGCCCTGTTTAAGGGAGGGTCTGAGCTCCCGGACCCAGCACGAGCCAGAATTGACCTGGGCTGCCTGCCCACCTGGCTCCTAACACACATTAAATGCAGAACCACAGCAGGTCCCAGGCTTGCGGCAAGGCAGCACTGGGCTGCTGGCCAGCCTGCTAAAAAATGGACTGGTGGTGGAGGGGTGAGAAATGTGTATAGTTTATAGCATTAACTCAAACTTTTGCTGATAGGTTAATCAACTACACTAGTACATCCCTACTTTACAGTATGTTCAGTTTCTGACTCCCATGGATGGAGGACTCCAAACTATCAAAATGGGATCCAACTGAGGCTGGTTTGTGGATTTCCTGGTTTGGCAAGAGACTGCTGGGGTTTCTGTTGGCGACTCTTAGCTAAATGAGCGGATTTGATATAGTTCACTGCAGCCAGGAGGGGGGAGAAAACATTGCTTCCTGTACGCAAAGGAGAAAGGTGTCCATGTGTGGACTGGGGAACAAAACTTGTGTGCGAGGAGAGGGTGGGGAAATTAACACAGACAGTGTTGAGAGACAAACCGCTCTCAGACTAGAAGATAGGCCGGCACAATGACAATTTAACAGCAATATTTTGCCAAACAGACAATGATAATTAAAGTTTGCCAAGTGCTATTATAAATGTGAAGAGACACCATTATTCACAATTATTTGCAGGGTACAGGAGTGAGGGATTTAATTCACATCAGCAATAAGTGCCTATTGAGAATGCAAGCTGCTGGGGACAGGAACACCACAGTCTTTTGTCTGCCTATAGAGATCTCTATGATCTAAAAAGACAGAAATTTTTATGATAATGTGAAGACTGAGGAAAAGTTAGGGAAAACTGACAGGAATTTCCCTTACAGAAATTACCCCCGATTCAAGTCTACTAAGCTTCATTGACCCAAACAGGCTCTGGGTGGACTTTAGAGGGTTCAGAAATAACTTCTAGCACTAGAGCTAAAATAAAGACACACATGTATAATTGTTGGTACCTACTGTAACACAATAGAAACCAGAACTCTGTGGTACTGGCAGGTAAGTGGGAGAAAATACCTTAATGTTTTAAGATGCATTTGTAAGTACAAGAGTGATTATGTCTGTGCCTTTAAATAAAGGGAGGGGGGATCTTAATGCAAGGCATGCTGGGAATGGAGAGGAAGCAGGAAAACAAAACGGACAAGAGAGCAGGGCAAGAAGAATTATTCTAAGTGTGGCTAAATATAACAAAATTCCTATAGCACTGGGGATACATTTTGATTCATATCTGCATTTATAAAGCATTTGTTTTAGCAAAAACACTGGACACTGGGCAGTGGAGATCCAGCCACTGCTGCTATGGGCTGGGACAGCCAAGCCAACAGACAACTGAAAGCTTTATTTGCTTCACACAAGTACCCAGCTCTTATACAGTGCTAACATCCTACAGCTTAAATCAAATTACAAAAGTATCAGCATTATCCCCATTTTACAAATGGGGGAGGCTCAGGCAACAGAGAGCAGTGCCTTGTCCACGGTCACCCAGCAAGGTCAGGGGCAGAGCCAAGAATGAAACCCAGGGACTTCGTCTACACTGCGGCTTTTACCGCAAGAGCCTATGCAAATGAGGCACATATTAGCAAATCGTCGTGCCTCATTTGCATAATTTATTTGAGCTGTTTTTGCACAAAAACCCGTTTTGCACAAAAACACCTGTCCACACTGCTTATTTTATGCAAAACCAAACGTGAATAAATTAAATGAGGCAAAGTGATATGCTAATGTGCACCTCATTTGCATAGGCTCGTGCATCAAAAGCCGCCATGTAGACGTAGCCAAAGTCTCAATCAGTGCTCTATCCACTAGGAAACACTGTCTCCTCTTCAGAGAGCGGTTTGATTTAAGCTATGCTGTACAATGTCTTATTGCCACTGGCACTTGTTGGCCTACTCATGTTGTAAGTTAAGTGCCCGTGGCAATGAGACATTGTACAGCAGAGTTTAAATCAAACCACTCTCTGAAGAGGAGAAACTACAGACCAATTAGTATAACTAAGGGTTATAGTGGACCACAAGCTGAATATGAGTCAGCAGTGTGATGCTGTTGCAAAAAAAAAAGCAAACATGATTCTGGGATGCATTAACAGGCGTGTTGTGAGCAAGACATGAGGAGTCATTCTTCCGCTCTACTCTGTGCTAGTTAGGCCTCAGTTGTAGTATTGTGTCCAGTTCTGGGCACCGCATTTCAAGAAGGATGTGGAGAAATTGGAGAGGGTCCAGAGAAGAGCAACGAGAATGATTAAGGGTCTAGAGAACATGAC